TTGAATGTTGCCTCCTTTTGACAGATTGAAATGAAGAATGTGTTCAGACCCTGCCTGTGGTTCTCTGACTAGGGCTTTTGTCACATTGCGCACGGCTTTCCTCTAATTGTCTCTATGATCATTTCTAAGAATGAACATTCCGTGAGGACACATAGGAGAGATGAGTCAAAGTTACTTTGGGATAAATATTTGATTAACTGATTCACTTTGAGTCAATGGACTGAATTGAAAGTACACTTAAGATTTGTCTTGACAGATCTTAGGAATCATCATATTCATTTTTGTTTTCAAAAGGAAAAAAGAAAGAAGGAAAGGAAGAAATTCACATATGCTAAATATGCTAACCATTGTCCAAGGTGATTGAGATAGATTATTCAGTTTAATCCTCCAACCAACTCTGAATGGTATTACCCCTCTTATAGGGATTAAATTACCAATACACAGCAAGGCTAATTAATTTGTCTAAAGTCATATTGTTGAAAACAGTAGAACTGGGTGTTGAGTCACCAATGATGGCTTCCCAAAGCCACACCCATTAACCACAGCTGATGTCACACTTTCTGTGACTACGTATGCCCAGGGTAGCTTCAACGTTTCCTCATAGTTTTTCTGATTTTTTTCCCCTTATTTTTATTATTTCTTTCCTTCTACTCATTTTGGGCTGCATTTGTACTTTTTCCCTAGTTCATTAACATGGAGTGTTAAACAATTAATTTCATTTATTCTCTCTTGCTGCCTACATATTTTAAGCTCTAAAATTTTCTCTAAGCACTACTTTAGCTGTTCCAAACAAGAATTGATATGCCATATTTTCATACTATTCAGTTGAAAATGTTTCCAAAATTTTCTCTTGAGACCTCGTCTTTCACCTATGGATTATTTGTGTTCATTTTCAAATATATGGAGTATTTTCTAATTACTTTTCTGTTGTTGACGTCCAGTTTAGTTTCACTATGGTCTAAGATGATGCCCTGTATTTTTTTCCATCCTTTGGAATTTGTAGTGACTCGCTTAAGGCCCTGAATATGGTATATCTTGATGAATATTTCAAATGCATTTGAAACAAAGATATATTCTGCAGATATTAGTTTTATAACTCTTCAAATGTCAAGTTTAGTTGGTTAGTGGTATTATTCAAATAATTTCTATTCTTTCTTTTCTTTTGTATGCTTCCAAAGGAGATATGTTTATACCTCCAAATATCATGGTCAATTCATCAATACCTCTTTTAGTTATGTTCATTTTTGCATTACACACGTCACAGCTTATCTTATGGGCATGCAGACACTTACACCTGTTGAAATGACACTTTTATTAAGAAATGTTTCTCTTCATCTGTCGTAATATTTCCTTCCTCAATAGCGATGTTCCTTGCTATGAAATAGTCACACTAGTTTTCTGTTGTTTGAAATTGTCGTGTTTTTTTTTTCTTTTTATTTACATCCTTTTAACATTTTTTTGTCCTTATACATAAAGTTTGTCTCACATACACTGCATATATTTGGATCTATTTTGAAATTCAGTCAGTATAATGTTTAGTCCATTTATATTTAATGAATTACTGATATAGTTAATTATATCCTATACACATGATATAAATGATTTTCTTTTCTTTTTTTTAAAAAAGAATTATTTAATTTTATTTATTCATTCATTTATTTTAATTTGGCCAGAGAGAGACACAGAGAGTGAGAGAGAGGGAAAGTGAGAAAGCAAGCCACCAGGTCCGGGACTCAAACTGTGGTTGGCCATATGGGAGTGGCCAGCACCTTAACCACCATGCCACCTGCTGGTCCCAGTGATTTTCGAAAAATAGATGACTCTTCTTTGTTGAAAATGTCCATGCTTTCATTCACCTGTTCAACTTTTCCTCTATTTTCTTTCAAGTAAGTATTCAAAGTTTTTCCCTGCTAAATCCAGTATTGGTGTCATCTATGGGTCTGTGTCTTTTAATTGTTCTTTTTATTGATTATTGTCCTTACTTTTGCCTCTTAGCATGTCTCTTAAGTTTTTATTATTGCTTATCTTTATGTATCAACAACCAAAGTGAAAGAAGTTTGTATCATTTTCTTTTCCCCATGAGTGTTTTTTTCCCTCCTCTGTTAAGCAGATGACATGAGAGCTTGAGTAATCTCGATCCACTCAGAATTGAACTGGGGTGGCGGGGATACCACTTTTCTAGATTCAATCTGTTTTGCATTTCTCAGAGATGGGGAGGAGATACTGTAGTCACGTGTTTGCTCTGGTAGGACTTGCTCTTCTAAGTGCCATAAGACTTCAGGAGCTGTTATTTGGCTTTCCTGGGTTCCCGCAGGAAAACCCAAACCCTTAGACATACTCCTGCAAGTCTGTGTAGCTCTCAAAAGTTCCACTGGATTCTCTTTTCTCTATGAGAGTCTTTCTGTTTATTCTAAACTAGAGGCAATTCATCCATTGAATAAAATAGCTGACAACCTTGTCTCACTGCGAAAGGAATCTCTCCCGACTACACTTTTAGTTAGCTGTTTT